GATTCATTCAAAGCATGCGCTCTCACAGTTCACGCATGCGCTGTAGTGGAACTGCGTTTTGTGACTGAACTCGAAAACAAAAAGAACGAATTTATACCTTGGGCGTTTCCTTCGGAAAGCCCGAGTAAAAATGACGGTAAACTGAGCACTTTTGGAAATTTGGAGATTTGTTTATTTTTCTAGATTCTCACCAATCTAAAGCTGTTGCTGAGGTTAAAAATCCACCATTTTTGACGGTTGATGGCTGACGACTGAATTTTAAGCTCTATAATGGCTGACAGTTTAACTCTTTTGACCCTCTCTCATTGAAGCAGCTGGTTATAACTACAACAACTTTTATTCTTACGGCAACTTTTTCTAATTTGTACAAAAGTTTTCCGACTCGACCCAGCCTCTCTCTCTTTGTCAATCCTCTCTTTTACCATGGCACCACTTACTATTTCGCTCCGTTTTACTGAATGACAACTGGAACAGGCTAGAAAAGTAAAAGTGCCCGAGATACCAACGTAACGTTAATTAATCGTTGTTTACTCCTAGAAATGTTTCTTCGTAATAAACGTCAACCGGTAAATGCCTTGAAGTTTAACCATCAACTGTGGAAATCGAAAAAAAATTACCATTAACCGTGAAGCTTTTCTCCATGAAGACCCTCTTTCAAGTGGAACGGAGCGGTATCAGTCGTCGCCAATAGGGCATAAAGGGGGACTATAGAAAATTGACTGCCAATTCAGGGGAGGGAGGTCATATGAATGTTAGAGACCCAAAGGGGGAATCAGATAAATTCAATCTCTACCCCGGCGATAATCGGTTCTAAAATAAATCGAGATTGTTTTCTTCATTCTACGGTTGTAAGAAAAGATGTAAAGGCCAAAAGTGGTAATTGATAAATGATAAAAACAGTTGGAAACAATTCACGATATTTTCATGGTGCAAAGTATGAGAACCACTTTAAATCGCTGCAGAACTAATTTTGAGGTGAAGCAAATACGCCTTAATTTGTACCATCAGTTTTGGTGAAAATTTTATTTGTGGAAGATCAATTTTTAACATTCCCTGCTTTGTTTCAGGTTCAAACCACAGTAAAAAGACGTTAAAATTTTTGATAAATGAGTGGTAATGAGTAGCATGATGGCAGCAAATAATTCTTCTATCCCAGGTACGTCTTTATGCTATAATTTTGAAGAAATTTGTTTTGGCAGGTTTTGGATGAATACGAATTCGTAATGCCACCGTGGCAGCCTCTGCATAAGACTAAATCAACAGAAGTGAAGTGATTTTCGTGATACATTAGGAGCTACCTTCAGTTAGACGAAAAGCTAACATACTCCAGCCATATAAGCAAGGTTTGCAAGAGAGCGTCCTATCAAACGAGTGTCCTTTTGATATTACGTAATCTTATTCGGACATCTGCCAAACTACGCATAGTCAAAAAAGGCCATAATACCTCACCTCACATATTGTCAGACTGGCATTTTTGTCGTGCTTCCGATGCAAGAAAATTAGAAAGAATTCAAGAACGAGCGTTACGCGCTGTCTACTGTGATAATGTATGAAGAACTGCTGCATAGAGCGAGCCTGCCTACACTATACACGCGAAGACTACAGGACATAGGAATTATGATGTTTAAAGTGTTACTGAAGTGATTTTCATGAATACCCTTTTTAAAATGAAAAAGGTTTTTCAATCATAGAAAAGTGGTTTTAAAAAATAAAAACGTATAATAACGGTCCAAAAATTTCTCAGATCGGAGCTCAAAGAGTAGTTCTTACGTGCGTCCATTTCGCGAATTCTGAGCCTTAGAAGTTCCCAGCGGTTGACAACACCTGTGACGTCACACGGTTGACACGCTGTAATCCACAGTAAATCTTCGAGTTCTGGGCGACTTCAATTCGGCAAGTACATCTTAGCCTACTACTATATCTTATATAATGTCCAGTTCTGACGATTCGGACTCCAACTCGAGTTCTAGGAATGTTTCGGAGGCAGGAGAAAACGAAAACGAGAGAGATTTCGGAGTGGTTGGCGGACTCGTGGAGACATACCGATTCGAGCCTGAAGAACCTGAAGGGTATGAAGAACCAGATGAAGAAGACGAAGATGGTTTGACTCCGGCGATATAGGAGTCTAGGTCCGAGAATCAAATAACCGTAGATAAATGGTAGGTGAAAACTTAAAGCGAAACTCCGACATAACACCTTCTCTTCGTTTGTTTTCGTCCACGCGAGTGTGTTTGTATAATACTAAGTTGTCTCGGGCTCGCGCTTATCAGTCTTTCCTGATGTTTACATTATTCTGAATTCAGGTGTCGTTGCAACAACTGCGATACAGAACTTCTGTGGAATGCCTTGGAGTTTCGTTGCTGTAAGGAAGTCACGGCAGCCATGGCAAAACTGACCTTTGAAGGCGTCGAAGGTAATTGCGTACTCGACCATCCAGACTTCGACGCTCTAACAAACGCCACAGTACTTGAGCAGGTTTGCCCTCTGATGAAGGACAAGAATGGCCGGGCTTACAAGTTTCCAACCAGAGGAACTCTAAATGCGAAAAAGGAGTAAGTAGGATTTCTTATGTTTATAAAACTTCGCCTCATTTCCGTCAAGCGCATCGACCGAATGTCGATGAGGCTCACCTACTCGAGTACATAAAAATAGCTTACAAGTTAGGTTGCTGCAGAATGTTTTTCTGTGTAATTTGACTAAAACCGACTTCATTTTAACAGCAATAATGCTCCGATATTATTGGCAATATCTAAGCAATAATTTCAGATGTAAAAGTCTTTTGTAAGAATTAAAAGGAGAACCTGAAAACAATATTTTGTTGATCACTCTAACATCAATTATGTCAACTTCACTCAATGTTATTATTTTTTTTTTTTGATGGTTTTGGTGGAGGGGAGGAGGAGATGACACTGGTTTGTTAAAAATACAACTCCAAGTGCTATAACTCATAAAAACTGTAAACTTTTCTTCTTTCTTAGAAGCTGTCGTGCCACTGCATACCGCTTTCTTGTGCGATGGATATTTGGGCCCCTCGGTTGGAACAACACTAGACCACTTCCTGCCTGTATATACAATAGAATTAGGCAGAAGTATCAGACTGCCTCCACCAGAGGTTACATCACTGCAGAGCAAAGGCAAAATTAAGCAACAAAGTAAAAACTCTGTACAACAACGGCTCTTTTAGGAGCCACCACATTTTACAAAAGTCATGACCTCCGTGCNGGAGGAGATGACACTGGTTTGTTAAAAATACAACTCCAAGTGCTATAACTCATAAAAACTATAAACTTTTCTTCTTTCTTAGGAGCTGTTGTGCCACTGCATACCGCTTTCTTGTGCGATGGATATTTGGGCCCCTTGGTTGGAACAACACTAAACCACTTCCTGCCTGTATAATTATACAATAGAATTAGGCAGAAGTATCAGACTGCCTCCACCAGAGGTTACATCACTGCAGAGCAAAGGCAAAATTAAGCAACAAAGTAAAAACTCTGTACAACAACGGCTCTTTTAGGAGCCACCACATTTTTCAAAAGTCATGACCTCCGTGCGTTCAAGTTGTTGATCTTTTATTTTCCAATGCTACATACCACATGCAAGATCCCTGTATCCTTCTCACAGTTAACATTTCTAAATACATGTATCTATTGTGACAAGTGTAAATATAGTACAATTTATTTTTTAGTCTCAACATTTGGCCATGATAAACACAAACAACATTTATTTACTAAAGTTTCTTTTGATATCCAGTCACAATGTCTATATGTTCATTGACTGGCATATGTGTTTTAGGTGATACTAGCACCAGAACAGCTTCCTCTTGCATGGTTTTTCATTGGCAGCTTCCACTTTCTGCGTGTTGGTGTTTTTCTTTTCTCCTTGGCAGGCTGTTGGTTAGCATGGGTGCTTGATGCCTGAAGTTCACTTAGAATTTCAACTGCAATTAGAATATGTTTATTTAATGTAGAAAAAAAAAAAACAAATTTCTTGTTGCTATAGTGTTCTTTTGGTAGATGGTGCAATGTTAACACCTTCCAGATTCAGGGTTGTATTTAAGAGGCAGGAGCATGGGATTCCTCCTGGCTTCTACAGTATGAAGTTGGCCTCTGGCTATTTGTATAGGAAAAAAGAAAATTAATAGAACCAAAGGAAACCCCAAGCTGTCTGATTCTCCGCATAATTGTTGTATTTATCCTGCAACTTGAAATTTTAATGACAGCGCCGTTGAATTACCGGGCTTACAAGTTTCCAACCAAAAACGGTTTGGCGCCCCAGTATATCACGGACTTATTCGCTGTCTCGAGTACTCATTATAATTTAAGAAATTCAGACTTCATAATACCAAGATTGAGGACAGTTGCAGACGGTAAACACAGCCTGTCGTACCTAGGCCCTGTCCTATGGTCAAAACTCGAAAAATTTATTCGGCTGTCTGACTCACTGGAAACTTTTAAAAAACGCATGAAACAAGTTAATTTTAAAAGCCTACTAGACATCGAATGTGAAGACTGCTTCTTATGTAATAATTAACTAATCATTTTAAACATTTAAATACACAAACATACATATAAATTTCATATCTTGTAATTTTTAAAGTAATTTTAGTACTATGGTACGCTAGAGATTTTGGCACGGAAATAAAATTCTTACCTTACGTGGGGAAAGACGTCGGGTACAAATCGCACGGTATTGGCAGGCCACTAGTTATATGAAGCACCTTGCTCGTGCGATGATTCATTCAAGTAAGAAATCACAGATGCCTCTCTCCTCTCACAAGTTGTTATTGAGAAACTCGATAACATCGGACGAAAGGTTTCCTCGTACAATCGTGACAAAAACGGGTGGCAAACTGAAGAGAGATCTATAAAAAGGTTTTTCGTCTTTAAGGTAGCGTCGTAAAGCAGGCAAGGCTAAGCTAAGTTAGGTTCTTAACAAATTATCTGTAAGAAAATTGTAGAAATCTCAAAATCGAAGCTGATTTATTCCCCATTTTTCTTTTCTTAGATGTGGCAAACATGAATTCATCAGTTGTTAACGGTTACTTTCGTGTCAGCAGTACTGTATGCATGACTTTAGCATATGTGGTTATATTCGTCCTTGGCTTCTTTGGTAACATCTGTATCATTTACATCGTGGTTTCTCGTAAAAGGATGAGAACTAACTTCAATTTCTTAGTCGTAAATATGGCGGTTGCAGATCTCCTGGTTTCTCTCTTCCTCATGCCGGTTGTGGTGAGTAACAGTTGGCCAATTATTAAATGTTACTCCATCGTTTAGTTTAGTTACAAAAAACCTCTCACTCACTCCCAAAAATTTAACACATTTTGTTATCCAACGCTATTAGCTCGGGTTGTTATTGAAAAACCTCTTTTGTGTACTTCCCTGTCCCCGTAGGTGAAATTCTTGTATACTGGCTCATCCTGGATCCCAGGGGCAGTGGGAAAAGTCACGTGTAAGTTTGTCAACTTCTTGGGGAGCCAGTCCATTGCTGCGAGTATCATAACACTTGTTTTCGTGACAGTGGATCGTTACTTCGCCGTTTTACATCCACTTCGAGACATTTGCTTCATTCGAAGCACAAAACTAGTCACCTCTGTGATATGGATCTCATCTTCCCTGTATTTTATGCCGTATCTCTTGCTCTTTGATGTTGTAAAGAGTGCTGATGGTTCTCACTGGGAATGCAGATTGGTTTGGAATTTCTTTACCTCGGATATAAGTGTCCAGTTTTCTATCGCCAAAGCCTATTACATGGCCATCTTCTTGATACTGTATTTGGTTCCTCTTGTTGTCATTGCATGGGTTCATGTTCTTATTGGTCGACATCTTTGGTCACACCAGATCCCAGGGAAGCCAACAGCTCATCAGAGACATCAGAATGAACTGTCAAAGCGCAAAGTACTGCGCATGATCATCATCGTGACGGTGACGTTTGCTTTGTGCTGGTTGCCAGCTCATATTCAGCATTTATTGATTTTCTGTTTTAACAACACTTATATAGCTTTGCTTAAAGTTGAACACCTAACCTCCGGTTTATTTTTCATATCACACGCCAATAGTGCCATAAATCCTTGTCTGTTTATTGGTTTAAACCAAAGATTCAACGATGAATTCAGAGGAATTCTCAGATGTCTTTTCTGCCGAAATTCCTTTCCCACGAGGAGAAGCTTTGGGACAGAAACACCTGTTGTTCTAACTCGCATACGAAAGACTGTACGTCAATGTAGTGCCACTGTNAATTGTCGTTGAAATTGTACAATACTTTTCCGTAAGATCTCTAGGTTAGGGTTCGTGTTTTTTTTTAAAGAGAAGATCGTCGCCATAGTCATTTAATTCGTGTGTGTTTGCCATACCAGTACTGTTGATTATTCAAAAGAATATCCGGTCAATTCGCCACCACAACAAACTCGCCACCACTCGAGGTCAAATCACCACCGGTAGCGACTTGACTTAAGCGTTACGTGTAGCCTCTCGAGTGAATCTTACATCAAATGAAAGCTAATATGCAGTAGTACATTGCGAAAAGGGAAAGGGACTCAGAAGTTAGGTGTAGCGTCTCAATAATGGAACGTTAAACGAAATGAAACATGTTGATATCACGTAGATTATGATCAGTTTGTGAACAGCAAAACCAGAGTGATTTATTCGCCGAGTGATTTTCGCTAAGTGGTTTCCACTGTGTTGTTACCCTTTATTGAATATTTTCATTTGCTAAAAAGATTTCTTGTTCTAGTGTTGGGAGGTGTGTCCCTCCCATGAGGCATAGCGGTCTTAGAGCGAGCACGAGGAAAATGAGTCGCCATGTTTGCTGTAGTTTACATTAGCTTGACTACGGATTTCCAAAAGCTCCTACATAATGCGAGTTCTTTAGAAAAAAAAAGACAATTCGGCGTTTGAAATTTCCAGGTTTACTTGTCGCTCGTATATTTTTCATTCAGCGAATCGTGCAAAGGTTAAGAAGTGTATGTGGATCTCACCTGATCTCGATTGTTAAAGTTTATAAATAAATTGTGGATTTGCGACTACACTCCGATATGAATGATATCGTATGAAACTTACATCATATATCGCCTGATAAGGGAGGAGTGTCGCTCAAAGGGGATTTTAATTCCAAATAAATTCAACTCAGATTTGATCAGTCAGATTCAGCTGAAAACATCATGAATACGGGCAAATTTATTTCCAGCCTTTCGAGTGGTTTTTAAATAATTTTCATTTTTTACGCTGGTAAGGTCGTAATATATGAATTGTAATAATTTTTTGTCAAGTGAATTGTGGAATATCCCCTCATAAAGGGAGTTCGTATTTTACTAATAATTTTCATTTTCCCCTGCATAATTACCAGGACCTTGAGGATACCGTGGAACCGCTCAGACAGCAGATCCCAGTGTTACAGTCCCGCAGATGGGTGCTACAGGAAGAACTGGATACTAGACACCAATTCTCTTCGTCTTTTAATGTATCATCGGTTCGTGAGCAGGATGAATCATAACAAACACTGAAGGGACTCATCGTTAAACAGGAAAGACCGAGAGTTAACCGGGCGAAGTGCATTATATGACTGTTATAACTCATCTATACCATGCCCACTAAAACCGCTTTCCTTTCCTTTGGCCGTGCCTTTATACGTGCAGATCCATCTCACAAAGGCGAATCGTAATATAAATAACGAGTGATTATACGATTGTATGAAATGAATTTAATCTGTTTCATAAACCACTGTGCGAATGATGTCGTAGTTCTTCCGTGTT